CCTGTGGCCACTTGTCCTAGAATAGAGCTGTGTGACCTTGGAGAGGTCATTCCACCTCTTTGTGCCTCTGCTATCCCCATCAATAAACGGGACTGATAGATTCTGCCTTGAAAGATTTTTTTGTGGGGAGTGAAACAAAGAATCTACATGAAAGCAAAGAACCAACCTTCCTTCCTTCCTTCCTTCTTTCCATCCTTCCTTCTTTCCTTCCTTCCTTCTTTGCCTTTCCTTTTTATTTTTCTTTTCTTTTTTTTTCTTCATGGTGCCAAAGATTACACCCTGAGTCTCATTGAGCTATGCCTCCAGCTCCTGTTAGTTATTTCTGAGTGCTCTTTACATAAGAACAGAAGGGCTTTATTACATATGTATTCAGCACCTTCTCAGCCCTTCACACGTATCTTCTCATTCATCTCTCACATAACCTCATGAGGTGGGTGCTCTCGTTTATGAGGCTCAGGGGGGTTAGGAGAACATAGTAGGGGGCAGGGCAGGTCACCCAGAGGTGGAGGAGGGTTTACCCTTCCTTCTCTGCTGTCACTGAGCGCTCCCTTTCAAGGCCCCTGGAATGTCTTGCCTTTGGAGGACTGAGCTTCCTTGAGCTTGCAGTTGTCCCTGTCCAGCACCCCATCTTTCAATAATAGGTATTTATTAAGTGCCTACTGTGTGCCAGGAACTGACCTGGACACTGACAACACAGCAGTATACAAAAGACATAAAATTCCTGCGTTCGTGGGGCTGACATTTCAACAGGGGTGACAAGCAACTTGATGATGCTGTCCAGTGGCTACAAATGCCAGGAGGCCACTGAAGCAGGGCATGGGGACAGTGTGATGGTTGGGAGGGGGATCCTTTTAATATAGAGGTCAGGAACAGCCTCACCTGGAAGGAGCATTTGAACACAGAGTGGAAAGAGATGAGAGAGGAAGATATCTGGGGGGACACAACATTCCAGGCAGAAGGAACAGCATGTACAAAGGCCCTGAGGCAGGACAGTGCCTGATGTTTTTTGAGCAGGAGTGAGAACACCACTGTGGCTGCAGTGGGGTGAGGAGGGAAGAGAATGGGAGGAGAGGATAGGCAGGTGGTTCAGAGTCCAGTGGCCAGTGTGTGGCCCCAAGTCTGCCTCTGAGGCCCCAGCCTGGCAGTCAGCCCAGCTGATTCTCCTGGCTCATAGCAGGAGCCATTGGTGTGGATGGGTGGTTGGACGGGTGGATGGATGGATGATTCTTATTTCCTCCCTTAAAGAAGGGCCCCATGTTTGTCCCCTTGTGGCAAAAGTTAGGGGGGATCTGAGGGTGGGGTTTGAAATCCAGGTGCACCACCCCTGACTATTGGTACCTCTGTACCTCAGTTTCCTTAATCCACGAAACAAAAAAGGGTGTGATCTTCAACTGGAGAGGTGATGTGATTAGGCTGGGGTGTGGCCCAGGGGTTGAGTGCTCACCTAACAGGTGCGAGGCCCCCCACTTTGTCTGGTCTCCTAACCTCTCTGAGCCTCAGTTTCCTCATCTATAAAACAAAACAACAAAAAACTATCATACTCACATCTCATGAGGTTGTTGTGAGAGATGAGTGAGAAAATCCATGTGAAGGGCTGAGAAGGTGCTGATTACATATGTAACAAAGCCCTTCCATTCATATGTAAAGTGCACTCAGAAATAACAGTGCCAAGATATATATATATATATCAGTGAGGGCTTGGTCACATGGCTGGCCAATACTATCACTAGGATTATCATATTTTTATCATGACTCTGCAGCTTCAGCTTTCTGTAGAGCAGGCAAAATGCCCCAGACTTGAGATGATGTGGATTCAGATCCCAACTTTGTCAAAGCCATGTGG